TATATATATATATATATATATATATATATATATATATATATATATATATATATATATACAGACATACCACATACAGACATTAAAGTGCAAAACTGAGACTTTTTAATATGTGTCAGATTTGTGGATTGTACAACTAATATTTTTACTGTTGATGACAGATTGAATAGTGCTCAATGACAAACATAGCTCTAGACAGGGGCCAAATATAGACATTAGAGGAAAGTATCAAATAAAAATATGCATAGGAGGAGTTGTGGATGGGGGAGGGTGGCCTAGTAGCTGGAGCATTGCGCATGGGTCTCCACACTCCCACAGACTGCCACTCTGTGTCCCTGAGCAAAGACCGTTAACCCCACACTGCTCCCAAGGCGCCGCACAATGGCAGCCCACTGCTCCCAAAGGGGATGGGTTAAATAAAGAAAGTTCATTTCATTGCTCTGTACTTGTGACAGTGTAATGACGATAAAAGTTTGAAGAAAAAAAAAAGGAAGTAAACTAAGCAAGGGTAAGAGAGCTACTTTAAAGATTGTTAAATGATACAGTTTTGGTGATATTTCTTCTTTTTTTTTTAGAAGGACAGGTATGTTGAAAAGGAAACAAAAATGTTGACAGCCTCTGATCCATACTCCTCTAAAAGGTGGCAGTGGTGCACCTCAAAGCTGTCTGGTAACTACCCTAAAACCAAAACAAGAAGAAGAAGATGAGGGATTTTTGCAGCAGTTGATGGCATGTCAAAGAGGTAATGCAATCATTTGAATCAGGTGTGCTGGAGCAAGGAGACATCTAAAACAAGAAGGCTGTTGGGCTGAGGAGCAGGGTTGAGAAATGCTGTCTGCATGAGATGGTCAGAACTTAACTTGTATACCCTTTAACTTTCTGTCTTTGACATGCTTTATCTGTTTGCTGTTTTTCTTGTTCTTCATGATACAGTTTGTTCAATAGTCTTCTATATATATATATATATATATATATATATATATATATATATATATCAGAGGCTCTCAGAACAGCTTGATTTATACTCAGATTAACCCACAAACAGAATAAATATCTTTATCAATAAGGGTGACATGAAACCAAACCACTTTTCTAAGGGTTATCAGTCTGAAGCAGGAACAATAGGATGTCTCCTTTTGGACTTATTTTCCAGGAAACCACTTGAGAACTATAAACATGTTTTAACTTAGCATGTTTTCACAGCTTCATGTCAGCTTACCACAGAAAATGACCATAAAATACACTGACTGTTGGGTTTGTAATGTTGAATCAAAAGGCACTTTTAAGTCCTTGAAGTAGCAAATATCCTGCAGCTTTCTTGTTTCATAGAATTTAAGAGAAATACATGAAAGGGTAGTAACTTTTTATACTACATAGACTCAGTTACATTGACCTGAAAATGTAGTTTAGAGAAAAATGCTTTAAGAAGTAGTTTTAATTAAATGTACTTTTACTTACAGTAACTAACATTTTCCTGAGAGTATTAATACTTTACTACTGAGGCAATTGGCTAAAAAATAAAGGCTTACACTATAAATGTATGGGTTAAACAATGAAGATTCAAGATTGTTAAATAATGTATAATATTGCAAATCAGTTGAGTCGGAGATTGGTGGTACATATAGGCCTAGCTAAACTTTTGACTTGCGAAAGGAGCATAAATGTAAATCAACAAATTACAAAATCAATACTTGAATTTGGGCAATCTGAATTTGGGCAGAATTCTTTAGATTTCTGTTACAAAAATTAACAAAGATTTTGCACTTTGAGTTATAAAAAAATGACAAAATAGAATCAATTGAAAAAAGTCAAACGGGTTTAAAAGTTCTTAAATTACATCTGAACAAGGATTTAACTTTGTGATGAAAGTTGGTTGTGGCTGTTGGATCTACAGGTACTCGAACCAAAAGCTTTCATTAGGGTTTTGTAATTTCCAAAAATGAACTTCCAAATATTTATTGAATGATTTCCTATTGTTGAGAGCACAAGAGTACCGCAGTACACTGCTATTTATATTTAGTTAGGCAGATCCATTTTAGAGACTTATCTATAAAGGGCTCAAAAACAATGATTTATAAAAACACTATTAGTAAAAGCCGATACCAATGCCAACATAAATATATAATGAATCACTAGTAAGTACACAATTTCAATTCTTTCTATCTATCCATCCATTCATCCATTCATTCATCCATCCATCCATCCATCCATCCATCCATCCATCCATCCATCCATCCATCCATCCATTCATTCATTCATTCATTCATTCATTCATTCATTCATTCATTCATTCATTCATCCATCCATCCATCCATCCATCCATCCAGAAAAAGTACAAATATTAACACAATGCTGTGCATGTAATGATTTACAATGTGACACAATATTATGTCACATTTTATTTTGTATAGTACTGTGTATAAATCTTATTTGTTGTTATGGTAGTAATATTTGAGGAAAACAAAAGGTTTTCGTCCACAAATCCCTACACTGGTGGTGTAGTACCACTTGTGGCCACTGGAGGGTGCATTGCCTCCATGCTGTTCTGTAGGGTTAGAGCAGGGTTTGCACAGACTGGCTTTAGAGGCTGCAGGAAATACATCGCCGACCTAATCAATTTTCTCGGTTCTTTTCAGGTCAGTGAATGATTTGACGAGCAAACCTGTGGTAT